AATGACTGGCAAGCTTTATTTTCAGCATTTAGCATTGTAGTATTAGAGGTAACTTAAAGGAGATAAAAGAGAACTTGTACTTGAAATTAGCAATTAGCACATGAATTGCAAATTTAGGATAAATTAACACGTGTGACTACCTACTTAATTCCAGCTAACCTCAAAAGTTATTCGATTGCACTTCTATCCATTGATTAATTGAGTAGTAATAGGATCGGTTAAGTTAAAATACACTGTGGAATTCTTGTTTTTCCTCAACTTTAAATGACAAAATCCAACGTGGTAAATTAGCACGTCAACAAGCTACAGCAGGGACACAAATTCCTCAGCCCCTGGTCATAAGAAAAGCCACCACCACCACAAACACACACATCTGGATACCAAATTTCTGTAAATTCTTTCAAAGTTACAGAAACTAACATAATTGCTTTCTTGTCTTGTCTTTAAAAAAAAAAAAATAGAGAATGTGCAGATCAGGTCATCAGTTACACAGACAAAAAGGAAAGAAAAAAGTATCCTAATTATTATAATCAATGTCTTTAAATGAGATGCCAAAATACACTCTGGTTTCCCTACACAGAGGATATTTAACTAGTCACAAGACACAACAATATTCCTGGCTATAAAACACTGCCGATACATGCTTATTGCAAAGTACCATTACAAAACCTCCTTGGATAGTTCCCCAGAAGAAAAGAGCACATTTTCTTGTTTTCTGAGTTAAAAATTAAAATAAAAATCAGATTTTTGGGGCTATTCTCTTGAAACACTTAAGTTCTTAGACTTCCAGCATACGTGCAGTTTCTACAGTTTCTCCCAATTTCTACAACCACAGGTTTGTAAAAGCTTTCACTACCTCTTGTTCTTAAAATCAGGCTTGCTTCAGGTGAAAGACAAATGAGAAACGTATGCAAGCATATTGGGATTATTCAGGGTTTGCAGTATTTGTAAAAAAGATTTGTTTGCTATTTTTCATACACAGATGCATACCTGCCAAACTGCAGTGCCTTTTGCTTGGTGACTCATGCGGTTGCGTTTGTCAGTATGGAGGAGAGCAAACAAACCCACAGCACACAACCCCAGGCAAGAGCTCCTACCAGCCAGACACTGAACAGGAGGTCTTCACTGGTCAGTTAGGATCAGGTACTGACACTCAAAGCTTCAGTAGCTGTGGACTCTTCTCCACAAGATGCACAGTGCAGACAGTTATGCTGCCTCTCATGCCGACGGCCCCTCTCTAAACGAAGCTCTACACCAGCAGTTTTAGTACTGAAACTTCTATTTACTCCAGGTGGTGAAAAAAATACACGGACAAGGTCTAACGTAACATTCTTACTAAAGGACTTCACAAAGTTCTGAAAGTTTTATAAAGAAAGTTTTAAAGAAAGTTCTATAAAGAAATAAAGAACAAGAGCCCTCCAAATAACAGTTCCTAAGCTCGCATGCAGTAGCCAGAATTCAAGGGATGAAGGCAGGGTAGGTTGGCTACACAGCAGCAGGAGAATTGAGATGCCTTCTCTCATGGGACACAGGTGCAATGGCCTTTCCTACATCTTTAGGGATCTAGCATCCCTGCATTTTCAGAGGCTGGAGTCACAAAGCCAAATGTAACGTTGTGCCAGTATACCCCAAAGAACAAGACTGAGCTCTACTGGGAGGAGACAGAGCCAACGTATGACTGAAAGGGACCGTGCCCCTCCCTTACCATCTTGCAAAACATCTCTGAAGAACAGCTGTAATTTGGATTCACAAAGAAGTAGTAAAACAGACCACAGCACAGTAAAACACTCTGCATACTTATCTTTCATGCTGGAGAAGGCTGTGGGGAGAGCAAGATGTTTGAAGACTTTATCATTGCATTGGAACAGATAATTAGGCAATTAAAACTATGAGAAGTGAACAAATTACCAGTTCCAGATGAATTGCTTTGCAGAACAGAGATGGGAGAAGCGAGAAAACAGAAATGAGAGCCGCTGGCAAGCACTTTAATAGCACAAGTGAAAGAGGGGCAGCTCGGGAACAAAGGTGAAAGGGTAGTTAATTTGCAGAAGCTTATCTGCTCCTCCAAAGGAACATTTTGAAGGGGCCGGCCCCTAAAGTAATCTTATTTTTCACATGCTGATAATCTGAACACATTAACAAACCCATGAGGCCTCATTCCAGCTTCATTTTTTGGTCACACCACAAGGCTGTCCTGCACTGTGTTCCTAATGCCATCAGTATCTCCACACACACACACACAAAAGATGTGTTTAACCATTCTGCTCCATAAGAAATCTCAACGAACTCATTCTGAGCACTTACGTTTCTTGATCCCATGGCACTTAGGATGAACCACCATTTGATATTCCACAGTAGGGACAGAATAAGAGGACATACAAACCTTACATGAAACCAGCTAGTTGACATAACTGCTGCTGCAGAGATGAGGAAAGCACAGAGTGTGGCTAAGGATTGCCTCTTGTTGAACTGCAGGATAGAGCATCTCTCACCCCAAAAAGCCTCAAGAAGATGCAAGTATAAGAACAAATACTGTGCTTTGCAAAGGATTTTCCCCATAAGATGTGTTTTAAAATAATAATATTTAAATAAATTAGACAATATTCAGACAATGAGGCAGGAATGGGATGAAGAACACGGAAGATATAACTTGTTAAAAAAAAAAAATACAGAATACACAACAAGTTCCTACTTCACTGCTTTACATCCAGAAGTTTAACTAAGAGAAATACAAAACAATAACCGCTAGGATTAATGTACAAGCAAACACCAACTTAAGCAACCATCCTCCTGATGAAGATTTCTGATCATTTTCTTTGTAGGTAAGAGTTTCATAGCTAAAGCTATCAAAATGCTCATCTTAATTAAAGGAGGTCTCTAATACCTATGAAACAAACTCATTCACATGAGTGAATCTGACTCCTCCAGTGCAAAGACATGCAGATCAGTAGGGGGGAAAAAGGTTTATGAGTTTTAAATTCTTTGAATCCAAGAAAGCCACCCTTATCTAATCCAAGCAGCTTGAAATGAGACATTACCATAGGACAGATGTATGTAAAACTCTGTGATTGCTTTGGCTGCCAAGGAGGAAGGCAATGACATCACAACGCTGGCATCTTTCAGAATGGGGGAAAGCCATGTGCGTTTACTTTCTGCTGTGATTTCTAGCATTCCAGTGCTATTCTGCTGTCAAACTCAGATGTTCATGTGTCTCATTGCCAAAGCAAGATGAGCAGTAAAGAAATGAGGGCTGCTTGAGAATTCCTCATTAAGTGAACTGCACCACACGCACCTGTAGGGAAACACTACCAGAGCACAGATTTCCTCTTTTCTGAGGGGGAGCTCAAGAAAACAGCAGTTTATTTATCCATCATAGAGCAGGATACAACTTACATTCCATTCTCTCCTGAGAAAAGCACAAATAAAAATAAGTACACATGAATTTCAATGGAAAGGATGAGGTCTTGCAGGCAGCACTGTACCACTACTCTCTCCTTCAGCAATGGCAATAAGATATTTTTGAATCTCTCCCTTGTTTAAGTATTCTGGCGTTAATCATGAATTATAACCAACATCTGACAGCTCCTTTCTTTGACAATCTTTTACAAGTTTTTAATCTTTAATCTGCTGCTGTTTGGCAATCTATAGATGACAAGCAAAAGGCGGAAAAAGAATAAGTAAATATAAGAAGATTAAATTTTAAACTGATCGAAGTTTTTCAAGAGCCAACCTCTCTGTAGCCTTGATACAAAACAGAGCATTTTCAGGTTTTGTCCTAGATTGACAAAGAGTAACTTGTGTGTTTTCCCCACTACCTATGAAAATGAGATGCCCACAGCAGGGGGGTTGGAACAGGACGGTCTTTCAGGTCCCTTCCAGCCCAATCCATTCTATATGTATGATTATATTTCAGTTCTTGGTACTTCCATGCTTTCTAGTTTCAAAGTCCCCTCAGTCTGTTTTTGCTTATCCTAAGAAACAACTCAAACCCCAAAACTCATGTAGGAACACGTGTGATTCAGACAGCCACACACCATCACAGAAGATTCCAACGTTATTCAGAAAATTAATGCTTCCTTCTTTTACGTCATGGCTGTGAAAGCATTACGAAAAAAACCATTTGTATCAAATCATGCATAAAAGTGACTCTTCAGCCTTACACAAATCTCTCCTGCGATAGTTGGTTCTGAGTTTTCTTTTAAATCCTACACACAAAAACCTCGGCCAAGTTCCTAAACGTTGCCCACATGTGAACAGGCCAGCAGCAGTCAGGCACAGTGCAGTCCTGCTATCAGGGATCCCAGCAGATCGCTGCTCATTTACCCACCTGCTGTAGGCTCTGCTCAGAAGCATCACCGCAAAAGAACAGAGCAACAAAAAGAGTGTGGTAACTTACCTCAGCACACCGTGACCGGAATGCCTTGAATTACAAAGAAAAACAGACCATTTCTTTTGATTACTGTTTGCATTTAATTGAGGACAGTGTAATCAAGCTTGGTGCAGCTCCACCTGCACATGATAAAGGTGCACTGGGTGTGGGTGAACGGCAAATGGAGTTAAACAGAAGATACCAACAATACCAACACGCACTGAGCAGTGACCTAGATTTGCAACCAAGGAATACGCGCGCTTCCAACAGCTCACAGAAACGCTGAAGCACAAACCAGACGACACAGAAGCACTGATTTGTCCGCAATCCTGAACTCCAACCTGCAGCTCCGCACCTCCTCCCTCCAGAAACGCCTCCGGCACGCTGCAGCTGCCGGGTACGGACACAAGGTTACAAACCACACAAATTGCAAGCAATTACCAAAAGGTTTTACGGTACAACTACGGTCCGCACGCAGGAACTTCTCCAGACCAACCAATTCCCTCAAATAAATGAGAAAAGCTCTGAACAGATAGCAACGAACTCCATCTCAAGCATCCTCAGCGCCTGCAAAACTCCTCCCGCGAAGCCGGCAGCGCAGCAGAGCCCGGACCGAGGCGTTCTCTCTTACCTTTGCTGAGAGTGCCCGTGATAAGCTTGAAAATCGTCTGAGCAAATTTGACAATGCCGTGCTTGCACCTCTTGGAACAGCCGCTCATGGCTCAAACGCGACGGAAGGTCTTTTTCTCACAGAGTCCAGAAATATCGAGGCAGAGTTCTTTGCAAAGTTCGTGCAGCGCTCAGAACTCTCAGGCGGCGAGCCTCAGCCTCTGCACTCAGCTTCGCTTCCCCCGAACCGCCAGGAAAGGTCGCAGAGCGGAGCCGTGCACCCGTTACAGGTGCAGCGCTGCGCCTCGGAGCCAACCGCGCTGCCCGGCTGGAAGTTGCAGAGCGCGGGGCGGGGAGGAGGAGGAGGAGGAGCAGGAGGAGCCGTCTGCACGCACCGCGGGACCGTTGCAAACAGGAGCTGCTGCCTTCAGGCTCTGGGCGTGCTTTCCCAGCTGACTTCAGCTAGGTTGTCAGTGCTACTGTCACCAGGCACAACCGGTACATACTGGATGTCTTACTCACTTTTCGGACGTAGAAGACTGCGGAGTATTCCTTTGCAAAACCCGCTAGAAACAGGAAAGCAGTACTGAGTCCTTTTCCACCCGGCAGCCGCCCGGTGCTGGCGGCGGGTTTGTCCCCTAGCAACAGCCGCAGCTCGGGCTTCTCCGCTTCAGTCCATTGTTTCTGCGTGCCCGGAATACTTTCAATAAAAAGAGCCGATGCGTCCGCCAGCAAAGCGGAGATATCTCGGAGCTCCTGACCCCATCTGACGTTAGGCATCTTCAGACTTTAATTTGCGCTCGATTCCTCTCAGATGCGTACTGATAACCGAAGATACGGTGTGTATGTGTGTGTATGTGTGCGTGCGTCGGGGCGGTTTACCTCAGGGTTCTGCTCCCCCCCCGCTGCACGAGGCGGCAGAGTCACCTGGAGCCAACCGACACCTGTGGGCAGCAGCAGCTGCATCCCCCACCGAGAAAAAAAAAAAAGCTCAACAGGCGGCCCTGCAGCTCGGGGAGCAAACGGCTCGATCGTAGCACGAGGCATCGTCTCGCCGTGTGAGCTGCGCTCCCGTCGGGCGGAGCTGCGCCGCACGTCGCCTGGCGGTGTCGGAGCGGTGCTCCTTCAGCCCTGCTGCCCCACCGCCGGCAGCGGCAGTCCGTACGGCTCGTGCCACCGTCGCTTCGCACCGCCCAGAGAGTTCGTTACACCGTGACAGCACCTCCTCCCCGTATCGCATCTGTGTGGGTCCCCGTTCCCAGGTTACGCACGGGGGACGTAGGGGAAAAGAGATTCCTCGAATGCCGGTAGAAACACGTGGCTGGATAGGGAGTACGGTGCGATTTTCTGCTGTAAAATAATACCTCTGCCTTCTGCACCGCAGGTTGCCAAACAGTAAGGTAAAGCAGTATACAGGGACACGAGGATGGGTATGGAGAAGAATTAAAATAAAAGTCAGCAGCAGTGAGGCCTCGGTGAAAAACACAGAGAAACGCTTCTGCGGGCAGCTCCCAGCTCAGCAACCTGGGCTGAGGGCACAGAATGAGCAGTAGATGGGGGGAAAGGCAGGGCTAAGGCACTCCTTCGTGAAGCTGGTCCCCAGGCTGCCCTTAATTCCCAGAGAGCCGACTCAAAGCTAGAAATGCGATTCTCTGAAAGAGACAATAAGGCAGTAAAATGTCAGTTGGGAAATCAAGGATTCAGCAGGTTAATTATCTGTATCAGTAGGTTTGCTTCATGTTTAGTTGCATATGCATATAGATAGATAGATAGATAGAAATTGGAAGGGGGAAATATAAGATAATTGACATGTTGGATGAAGATATGGAAACTGAGAGCTCTTGCATAGTGGGACAGGCAACAGTATCAGTATGTAACCCAGACATCACTTTATATCTCTCTAACCCTCCCATTTTCCCACTGATTTCATCTGTTAGCCTCTTTTGGCCCATACTATGCAGGAAGATGGGTCAAAAGAAAACAAAATGTGCAACAATAGGAACAGGTTATCTTAATAACAGAGTATCATGAAAATTGCAGCAGGATCAGTAGAGTGGTAGACCTTGCAGCCCTGTAAAGCTGAAGCAAAGCTGGAGTAAACCAGGCAGGAGTTTCAGTAGCCAAAAGGCCCTCTCAAAGCAGTCCCCAGAGCTGATAATCCTAAGAACTACCCACAGAAATACTGGACACACTACTCAATGCCATGGGCAGAACGTGTGAATGGGAGTTCAGAGGCACAATTCTGATCTGTTCAATGGTTAGTCCTTTTTGCTAAAGGAATTCAGTACTTTTAATAGTGGTTCCTGAAGCCCTAGCAGCCTACTGTGCTAAGTGCAGCACAAACCTGAAATAAGGACAGTTCTTATTCAAAAATATTAAAGACAAAGGAAAAGTAAACTCCGACGCAGACAGATGGATAATGAAGCATAGCAAAATAAGATAAACCACTCCTCATGGCCATGGTTAGCACTGACACAGGCTGCATGCAGTGTCATGTGGCCTTAGGGGGAAAACATCTGAAGACAGAAGGATAATGAGATAATGATTTTTATTATGATTATTTTCTTTAATGTCGCAACTGCAAGAGCCAGTATAAGAGGAAATACAGAGCTGCTTACTTTAAATTTAACATGTCAGTAAATGAAGGCTGGTTATAAACGTCGTTTTGAGGCATGAATCAAAACACTGAGCAGAAGATCATGTAGGGCCCCAAATTCCTTACTGATGTTGTGTGATGGAGAGCACAAAGACAGCTGATTATAGTTGCAGGTAAACACAGCTGGTCTTTAGAGACTGGCTGTGAACTTCTCTTAGATGCAAAGGTGTCATATCCCTGATCCAACATTTTTATAATGGCCATTTCAGACTACAGAACGAACACAGACAAGTAGTGCATCTTTCTAGATTTGACTTCAAGTGTAAGGAGATAAAAGTTGGAAAAACACACAAAAGTAAGGTTGTTCAACTGCAAGACCAAGGTGTAGGGGAAGTCATCCCAAAGGGATATAAAAGTAAATGCATTGTAGGAAATTGTTCTTTCTTAATTTAGCATTCAAAATCACCATGTGGGTGAGAGGTGAAAGTATTCCCTGAATATATAAGACTCCTAAGTTCAACCAAGGGTTCAGCCAGCACAGTTCCTACTGACATCAAAGGCAGTTAAACCTATTTACATAAGGAGAGAGTTAAACACATTAACTTGAAACCACACAGCAAATGCTTGAGAATAATCTCCAGGACAGGCATGAACACACTGTGGACTCGGATGCACTGATTTTCTCTCCCACAGAAGAAACATTCCCATATTTCTGTGGGTGCATTAGTTTTGGAAAGAGCTACTCCACAACTACCTGCTGCCAAGGGCGTCAGAGCATAGCTCTCACATGACTCAGTTCATCCCACAGATACCCATCACATTCTGGAGGCCAAAAACACAGAAGGAAGAATGGGTGGGATCCATCACAGATCCTCAGTACTGTCACAGCACTGTCACTCATTGCTTTTACATTCTTTCCCCAGCTTTCTGCTACTTGGCATTGTGGGAAACAGTTGTCAACTGCTTGGGTATTTGGCCTGGCCCATATTTACAACTGGCTGCAGACTTCTGCACTAAAGCCAGAGAGTTCCCACCCTGAAAATGCAAACCCATGTCTTTTGTCCTCTGGTTTAAGGGAAGAGTGAGTGTAATTGCAGAAACAACTTCATTTCAAACTTCTTCCCATAATTTTTCTTCTCAAGTTTTTCCACACTGCTATGATGCACTGTTACAATAATCTGGTACGAAAACGTAGAATCTTGCATCCTGCACTCTTTGGTTCTGATGTGCAAATAAAGCCAGAGACTTGGCTGCAAAATGCCACAAACTCCTGCCCAGCCTGTGCAGTCTTCCAAGAAAAGAGGTACAACAGCAGATTGTATGCACCAAGACTCAGATATATATGGTTGGTTCTGCTTTAGATCCAGAAACACTGATGCAGGCATACACGACATCTCCTTCATTGTGCTCCCAAAGCACAGCTGTCTCAGGATGGACCATGAGTAAGATTTTATTGATCTGTTTGGAAGCAAACAGGCAATTGTTTCTACTATCTATATCCTCGATTACTTGAAATCTGGAGGTATTAGCAAAGCAAGAGTGAGAGTTTTACTGGCCCCTATGACAAGATGTGCGTCTTCAAGGAGTGGCTTTGAAAACTGATCTACTTAAAATGAAGAAATGACACTACTCAAATGTGTGTAAGCCTGTGTGGGTACAGCTCTGAGCAAGCCATACCCCATGTGTCACCGTTACTGGCAACGACACTAACAGTGAGTTTTCTTGTATAGAAAAACAAATACTCTGGAAGCTCAAGGAAGTTTGTACTAATATCTGTTTTTAAATGTGGTAAGCTGACATAAACCAAATGAACTCACTTCCCCATCATTACCAAGAACAAAGTGGCAGCGAGATTAGAAGCAGCATCTCCTTTGTGCCAGTCTAATACTACAGCAGCAACAGGCCAGCCCTTATATTAGTTTCTCCACTGTTCTCTATAATTGCTGCCAAGCAGATAATGGCCACGCTGCATTTTCATTCATCTGTAATTCCAGTTAGCATTATCAATCAGGGCTTTAGGAACACTGCAGGGAGATTTCCTCATCATTACAGAACTTTTTTTTATGGCACAGAAGTTACATCTCAATGCAAGCAGCTTTCTTCACTGGAGGGGAGTGTACAGATAGTTAGGCATTATTATTTTACACAAACTGTTCATTCAATTACATCATCTGTTTATTTAATATCCCATTTGTCAAGTCTGACTAATATTTAAAATACTAAACATATTATATAAATATTTTATTTAATTATATTAAATATTTTATATATATATATATATGTTTTTAATTAAAAATCTAGGGAAAGAAAGGTTGCTGTAGAAAGCAGCATGCACATTAAAACAGGCTTCTCGAAGTGCTTATGAGAAATTAAGAAGCTCAAGGGTGCAAAACCTTTTGTCTGAGGTACGGGCATAAACATACAGAGTGCACATCAACTGAATAACAATTCTGACTGTTTCAGGAGCAGTCTGACATCTTAGCCTTGGAAGGCACTGCAGGCAGTAGACACCTCTGCTTGGGGAAAATCACTCTAAAATTTTGAGCAGGCAGAGCTTTTTCCCTACAGAAGAGGGTGAGAAGAGTGTTAAGTCTCTCTTTTCAAGCCAAATACAGTACTTGTTACACAAGCTTTCTGCAGAGGAATTGGCCAAAGTTTAAGCATCCAACACTCTTGATATTCCAGCCTTGGACATCTCTTGAGATAAGCTTGCCAATTGTGCTAAAACATACCAGTAACATAACTCAGACTGGGAGACTTCTGAGAATTACAGAACTTCCATCAGAGAAGTCTAGCAAAGAACACTCTTCACAGCATCACCACCTGTAGGTATGAGAGCCCAGGGTATGTGCCAGTGACGTGCCTCAGTTTTCATTATGTCTGCCCTAATCATGACATGTTTGTCAGTAGGACATTAAAAGCATCAGGAGAAGCAGAACCACATGGACTGAAGAAATATTCCACAGAGAAGCAGATTCCTTCAGCAGATAGGAAATTGCACGTGTTTAACATGTGAAATGTTAAGCCTGCTCTATGCTGTAACATACTGACATTGACACTGTTGACAGTTCCTAAGGGGTCAGCTTTAAAATACAGTGCAGCACATCCAAGAACTCTGTTTGCTGGTTTAAAAAGTACTGCACTGTTGGCAGTGGGAAAAAATGAGTCCAGCCGAACTGAGCTCCATCACATTGCTGCAATGAAGAAAGAACATGGGACTCCTCTCCTTGCTGGGCTCCACTGCATAGGACTGATTTAGTGGTTGACAACCCTGCCCACACAGGGGTGTTGGAACTAGATGATCTTTGATGTCCCTTCCAACCCATTCTATCAGGACATTGTGCCATTTTCCTTGAGGCCTGTTTAAATTTCACCCTAGCCTCAATTTCTCAGAATAGCTGTGAAATGGAGAAGATTTAGACACATTCTTCCTTTGTTCTGCCATTCAAACTAAATCATATTTTGCTTAAACATAGTTAAGGACAGAGATGATACCTGGCAAATACAAAGCTTTTCAGAGAGAATGGAACATACCAAGGGTAATGACTGTGGTCCTTAGATAAGTCTGTTTTGGCAAAGGACCAAAGAAGGCAAAAAAAAATCCCTAACAACAAAGCCATGCTTCCCTTCACCTCAGTGGCAGTAGTTTGTTAAACGGGTCTCCCAACTTGTAGACTGGGAGAATTTGTGCTAAATCAGTGATTACCATTATGCCTCCTAACTCCAATGACATGGAAGCATGCACACACTTTTAATTTATATCAAGAGAACATGCACAACAGCTTGAGATGTCCCAGAGTGAAGGAGGAAGGAGGCAAATATGTTAGCTGTGCTTCAGTGACTCAGCAGAATAGGCCAGAAAAATGAAAAAAGAAAAAAGAACCTCAATTGGTAGTGCAACTATGGCTGTAAGGAGAGCATGGCGCCTTCCCGCAGGCATTTCCAAAATGAAATTTCCTGAACATTTCAATTTCAGGGAAAATGAGAAATATATCCATATCCCCCCACTTCGTTCCTCACACACAACATATTCGCTCAGCCCTGAGTTACTTTGCTGATGCATTCACTGGTCAAGCCCATCACAGTAAATATCACAGACAATTGATTGGAAATATTCTTTCCATTTCTTTTATCTCGTTATTAAACGGACCTAATAACATATATCTACCTCATACTTATCTTTGGCATGCCAAGAATCCATTTATCTCAAAATAAGCTTTAATGACTTGGCAAATGGTTATTTTATGACAAGCTGTCTTTAGCTTGGTGCAGACATTATGATGAAGCAAAGGCACCTCCAGTCAATCATCTGCTCTCTAAAGGCATTAGCCTTGTACTACTTATTTGCATCCTCTACGTTCTTGAGGTGTAGGTAAATTAATTTATGCAGCTGAGCTTCTCAAAAAGCAGCAGGAGAGATTATGTAGTTATTCATTTTGAAAAGCCAAAATAACTTGTTCTAGTTCAGAAAAAAGTCTGGTGAAGGCAAGAAGATGTACAGAAATGAAGTCAGTTGGGATATGGAAGCACAGGTCATCCTTCCTGACAGATCTTTTGCTTTCAGAAGTTCTCTTTCCTTTAGGCACAAAACATGTGCTGGAACATTTGAACAAATGGTTACAAAAGTTCACATGTAAATCCAGAACTGAGCCAAACACAGCTGTTGTAAGCTTTTGTTTGAGCTTTTGCTACTGCAGAACAAGTCTAATCTATTTTGTCAATTTTAGAAAATAGTTTCAGAGTAAAACATGGAAAGGTTTCATTTCAGCTTTAAAAAATCCTGTATTTTTATTTGAAAACTGCAGTATCTGCTTTGTCTGCTTTTGTGAATAGGCTTACACCCCCCTTCAATGACATTTTCAGCAGATAGCTGTATGCACATGCACAGTCGTGTCTGCTAACAGCTTGATTCTGATAGAAACTAAATGACAAATGCAATAGGTGGAAAGCCACAAGTGACTTCCCAAAACTTCATGTTAACAGACTGCTATTTGAAGAAGTGTCATAAGTGTTCTGCAAAGACTTCTGACACTTACGATACAGAGAACAGTAATTTTGTTGCACCGATGTTTACAAATATGCAGCGTTTGGAAGCTGGAAATCATTCTGAAAAAAGAATCAGTAACTAACAAGGTAGGTTCATAATAAATATTATTTAATCCGCTTTATCTGTGATCCTTTTGAAGTATATGCTCTTCTTAACTACGCTCCTCTAGGAAAACACAACATCAAGGGAAGAAAACCTGTCTCAGCTAACTAAATGACAGTTCGCTGCCTTGAATGAACTTAGGGTTTTCCTCTTGATATTTAAACAGCAATTCTGTTGTTTGCCACTTAATGGATTTATTTTTTTCTTCCTGCATGATTCAAAAGGCAATACTCCAACCACTAAAAGCCTTCATTTATTGAGGTACCCTTTACTATTTCGATTCAGTACATGGTAAAGACTTGCTAATATTTTTAAGCCATTTATTAGCTTTTTAAAATTAAATTTTATTTCTTAAACACATGAAGTCTGACCACTGAATTTCAGATTACTTTGGAAACAGTAAGGCAAGTGCCAAAAGAAAATAGTGTTCTTTGCTAGCTGACAGACACTTAGCATCGGTGCCATCAGGCTGCTTGAAATACCATTTCTTGCAGCAGCAAGTGACAGAATATGCATCAGTGTGCTGCTCTATCTGCTAGATCTGGAAAGTGGAAAGCAGCTGGTCGGGCACGAGGTACAGTCATCTGAGAATCCAGCATCCATTCCCACACAGCCAATTCATGTCTTACATCAGCTGGATCATGGACTGAGGATAGTTTTCCCCCACCTCTCTTTCCCACTTTGCCTTTTATGTGCACTTTCAGCTACTCCACAACGCAGGGGTATTTAGAGCGAGTTCAAAAGTCACCTGTATGATCAGAAGGCTACTGCTCACTTCCATGATCTGTGAAATAGTTCTCCACCTGTTGCAGCTAGAAGGGACTGGGATGTTTGCCCAGTAATAGTGGCCAGAGTTGAGAGCCGTGTTCCTTATCAACACCACAAACATCATTACTTCCATGTAAAAGCAGCCATTCCCCCAACAAGCATTCATTCACACTCCACACATTTCAAGACAGGTGTCCAAGTAGTATTTGGACAAATCTCTTAGATGCGTGGCTTAACTCAGGTTGTCCTGTGTGGAGTCTGGTGTTTGGACTTTGTGGCTCCCTTCAAACTCTGGCTATTCTGGTTTATATAGCCCTAATGTGGCCATTGAGACAATGCTGCTCTTCACATTAGTTTTCACATTAAGATAATATGCTTGTACTCCTCATGTGAACTTTGCACACTTGTCCAAAACCAACTAGATTAAATTATGGTGGGTCAGGAATCAGATCAAGACAGCTTTCATGCTTAAGGACCTTGTGAATCAGAGTAGTATGCTGGGGAAAAACTGTTTAGAATACTGAACATCACTGTTTCTTGTGTGGAATTTCTGCTACTGTTTTACTCTATCTCAAAGTTAATCAAATAAAGACATCTGAAA